GGGGGAGAAGAGAAAAAAATGAAAAGAGTATAACTAAATCCCTTGATTGAACACACAAATAATGGATTAAGAGCCCTTTAAGGTGGATTGTATATATTTTGTAACTAAAATGTGTTTAGGTAGGGTAAATACCGAAACATGAATATTTTTCGTAATAAGGTTTCAAATAGTGTATAAGAATGAAAAAATCCCTTTGCTATGGAACCAGACATTGATTTTGGGCTTGGATATGTTCATGCGTGTGAAGAATCCGAGAAAGCTATACAATATAGCCGCTCTAAAAATAATAACTGATAAATATATATTTTATATACATTAGTGTATAATATACAAAAGATCTATATTCTATACATAATCAATGCATATTATTTTATATTTGCTAGCGAATGTAATTATTTTTGGCCGATCGGCCAAATATATAACTTGTCCAAGAATCAAGTATTTTTATTATCTCATTTACTTTATTAACTTTATTTAAAGAAAAGGTGGACATATTTGATCCTGAATTATGTGAAGGTTCATCAATACTTTTCGTTAATTTTATTTATTATTTACCTATTCGTATCAGTCACTGATATTACCAAACGGTCTAAACTGGCTTGTATTTATCCTTATTCACTGACGGAAAATAATTAGAGATTGATTAGACTCTAATTGGATTGTTTAGCATCATATTGCCACGTGTCAATCATGTGGCTTAAAATTAAATTCAGCCATTCAATTTTACCTTTTCTTTTTCCTTCTTCTCTTCCATTTTTTCCTCTAATTGTTTTTTTTTATTTAATTTGTGCTATAATTTTTTGGGAAAAGTGTTGGACTTGCAAGTAACTTCGTGTGGTGGTAAGAAATGGGGAGCCAACTAATTAGGACATAACCATACGAGGGAAAAACATACGTGTAGAAACTAAAGCCTCCAAATGAATTATTGTCGTGCTTTTTATGAAAACAAAACAAAACCATAGGAAGTTTGTCATCATGTTTCTAACGAATTCTTGAAAAGTAGAAAAGGGAACCATTCTTCTCACTCTTTCCCTGCAAAAAGCAGAGTCTTTTGAATTCTTGAAAATTCAATAACGCAATGGCTTTGCATTTTAGCAGTGCGTGTTTGTGTTCTTTGAGCCAGAGGCGGGTGCAAACAATTAGAGCTGTAGCTTCTGAGAGTAGTATTACAGTGAAACCAGAAGAAGATAAGGTGAAACTTGGTGGGTCTGATTTGAAGGTTACAAAGCTTGGAATTGGAGCTTGGTCTTGGGGTGACACTAGCTATTGGAACAACTTTGAGTGGGATGGTGAGTTTCATAGAGTTCTTCGATTTTTATTACTAGTTGTTGTTTCTTTCGCTTCGATTTTCTTATGGGATTGCTAGTGTTACTGCTTGTTGCTATTGATTCTTTTTTTATCTTTCTTTGAGTCGAGGGTTTCTACGCTACCATACCTAGACCCAATTACTTTTTTTTTTATCTTTCTTTGAGTCGAGGGTCTTACACATTACTTTACCCAGATCCCACTTGTGGTATTACGCTTGTGTTATTGAGTTTCATAGTATTCCTAGATATTACTACTTGTTATTTCTTTCGCTTCGATTTTCTTATTGGATTGCTTGTGTTATTGTTTGTTGCTATTGCTTCTTTTTTCATCTTTCTTTGAGTCGACCGTCTTCCACACTACTCTAGCCAGACCCTACTTGTGGGATTACACTGGGTTTATTGTTGTTGGTGGTGGTGAGTTTCATAGAATTGAGAAAGTTTTTGAAATTTTGGCAATTATGTTTTTCTCTTTATTTGCATTTTCTTGGGGTAAATCATTTTGCTTATTGGTTTCCTATATCCTGATTACATTCGTCGATGAATTTGATTCTGTACTAAGCTTGGTTATTCTGGAAAAGTATTTTCTAACTCGTTTCCCATCTCATCTAAAAGCTTTGTTTAAAAGAGCACACTTTTATTTATCTAATTGTCTTTTCAATACATCCCTCACGTGCGAGCTTCATTTTTCTGCCTGCTCTGATACCATGTTGAATTGTATCTCATCTAAAAGTTTAAGTTGTTAGAAAGAGTACACTTTTATCTATTTAATTGTCTCTTCAATAATATGCCCCTTTTCTCCCTTACTATCTTAGTGTTGTGTCTGTTTATTATAGTATAACTTTTTATTAGTCATTACTCAGGGATTTACTAGGATATTTATTCTGGAAATTTAAGAGATAATACGTATATAGAAAGCTGGATACTCTTGGTAAGATGGTCTTGTTTGCTATTGAACGTAGCTTGAAGGGAATGCCCCAATTTGATTGTGATTTGTGACTTTGTTACAAAGGAAAGAACGAAATTGGATTGAGGCTTAATCCCATTTTGTGTAACGTTCACCAGCTCACGATTGTCATTCACTAAGGACAATCTTAAATTGAAGTGTGACTAAAATTGTGCCTGATCCGTGCATTCCTACTTACATTTCCTTTTGGAAAATATTGCTATTAGTTACTATTGCTACTGCAATTACTGCCATTGTAGATATTCTTTTTCCTTCCTAATATTTTGAAGATAAGTCAGGAAATTTATACAGCTATTTGGCCTCTAGCTTATGATAATATCTTCATCATTGTTTTTCCTCACTGTAGATATTGAAGTTGCAATTGCTATAACAGGTTTAAATATGTTAGAAACAACAGAGATTATACATATAGTGTCAAAGAAGCAGTTCTTATAAGCAGAATCTTAAGTTGTTTGAGCAATAATAACAACCATTGGGGCACATTTTGGATTCCCTATCTGATTGGTGTAATATTTCAAGGGGCATCCTGATGGCCCAAATTACACTTCTTCTGCTTGTGATGAGTTTTTTCATTCGCTTGTGTCGTGTTCTGTTTATCTAGAATGTCTTCTTTCCCTAAAAATCAGATGATACTAATTCAGGATCAGATTTTTTTTTCTGTTTCTCTTTAAGTAAGTAGCATCCAATTTTTTACCCTCTATGTTCATCCAAGTTTTAGATAATAGAAGAGTTTCTAAAAAGGATCTTTTGGCTTAGTCTGCCTTTACTACAGAGAAAAATAGGACACTTGTTTTCCGGTTAATAAGGGAAAGTCTTTTTTCTTTTCAAATTCAAGTTTGGCTCTGATTAGATTCTTAGGGAACCATGGGTGAGCAGCCCCTAAACCAAATAAGAAAGGGCTTAGGAAACAAATTGAGAAAGCTCAACCTTCCGACGGCTATTCTTGTTATTCTCTTCTTGCATGAGAGACCACTGGAGATGTTCTTTTTCTTTTCAGCTTCTAGAGAATTTCCATTTCCAACCTCCTCTGTGAAAACTAGTTGTCTAGTTTGGAAAGTAGAAAATATTTGTTCACATAACTATGCACACCTAAACACTAAGCACGCGCAAGGGCACGTGCTTCGAGGTATGAGACGAGGAAAGGGCTTAACAATGGGTATGGTGGTCGGAGGATGAAGATATGGGAGCTAACAGTACCGGTGACTGCAGAGAATTGAAGAACTGGCAGTCAATGTAGTCAATACTTGTTAGTGCAGAGGCTCAATCTCATATATTCATGCAGCACTTACCTATTTCTCTTAACATGGGAAAACCTTAAATTACTTTGGAGCTTTCCAATGTTGTCCAACTCTGAATGTTTTCCTTAAAACAGAAAAGACAATTAGCCAAGGTTTTGCATTTTCTTAATAGAAAAAAATGGAAAACTGGAAATATTGTAGAACCAAACATGACATAACATTTCCATTTCTTTTCTGTTAAGATCTTTTCTGGCCACGTAGGGTTTTTGTCTAGGGTAGCTAGTGACAATGTTGTGTTTTACTACTTCGCTTTTCAGTGCATGTCCTATTTACTAGCTATCGTTTTTGCTTTGCATCTTTCTTCTGCATTTCATGGTGTTCCTATTTTTTCTATGATTGTTGTGGTGATACTAATGTTGTCTCCTCTTGTCGTTTTGTCTTTTTGTTTTCTTGAGCCGAGGGGTAGGGGTAAGGTCTGCGTACACACTACCCTCCCCAGACCCCATTAGTGGGATTCTACTGGGTTGTTGTTGTTGTTCTGTTAAGATCGATCTTATGGTACTTACTAATAGCATCTGAAGTGTCAGCCACTTTTCTGTTTTTCCGGCTTAGTTATTCTGTTTGAGTTGTTACCTAGCTTGTTCAGCTTCTGCATTATCAAAACCAACATGTTAAACTCTTTTCTTGTACTGCACTGATCACAGATAGGAAGCTGAAGGCTGCTAAGACTGCTTTTGACGCCAGCGTTGATAGTGGAATAACATTTATCGATACTGCTGAGGTCTATGGTTCAAGGGTGAGTAATGGTTTTTATTTTGTCAATTCTCTTAGTCTGCTAAATTATACAGAAAAGATGTACAATCACGAGAAACCACTATTTCCTCTACTTACAGTTCTCATTCGGTGCGATAAATTCAGAAACACTGCTAGGAAGGTGAGCTCTAGTTCTCCTAAATGTTCATTATTTTCACTTGTGACCAAAAGAATATCAATTTGCACGTTCTTCATGACAATTAAAGTTTTTGCTTTTATATTAGATTCATCAAGGAAAGAAAAGAAAGTAATCCAGAAGTCGAGGTTGCTGTTGCGACTAAATTTGCTGCATTGCCGTGGAGGCTAGGCCGTCAAAGTGTCCTAGCCGCCCTCAAGGATTCTCTTGCACGTCTCGAACTTTCTTCAGTTGATCTTTATCAACTTCACTGGTAGGCTTCTTGGACCCTCTCTTTTTGGTTAATTTTCTGTAATTCTGTTAAACAAACAGTAAATAATTGATCAAAGCTTCTTTTGGTATAATTCTCAGGCCAGGAATATGGGGAAATGAAGGTTTGTCTTGACTGATTACCTTGTTCCGTTCAACAAATCAGCTACTTTTCTTTCACACGTAAAATTGGGAAAAGCTTAGTCTATGAGAAAATCCCTTTTCAGGTTATATTGATGGTTTAGGAGATGCAGTGGAGCAGGGCCTTGTAAAAGCTGTGGGAGTATCTAACTATAGTGGTAAACCTATTATTTCTAGTCACTCAAGTATTGTGACAGTTATTGATGATTGTTTTTAGTTCACTCTCAACTCGGTAGCATTTTGGATTGCTTACTTTACAAGAGTGTTATGAAAATATGACTCTTCGGCAAATTAACCAAGGATTCATGCTAAATACAATATTTGGCCGATTGAAGTAGTTCTTGTTTCAGAAAAGCGTCTTCGCGCTGCATACGAGCAGCTGAAGAGGAGAGGTATTCCGCTAGCTTCAAATCAAGTCAATTATAGCCTGATATATAGGTTTCCAGAGCAAAATGGTGTAAAGGCTGCCTGTGATGAACTGGGAGTCACGTTGATTGCATATTCACCCATTGCTCAAGGTAAAACCTGATCTTTTTTCTCTGTTGTGATAAGTTCAAGGTAAACCCTGATTATGCAGTTAAGTTGCCTATTTTTGTTAATTCTGGGTATGCAACTGTATTCTTGTGAAGATTTACGATGGCCTGATTAATGGTCTCACTGAGACAGACATGAAATAAATAGTTACGGAGGCTTTAAGTTGTTTACCACAACAACAACAACAACAACAACAACAACAATAGACTCAGTGTAATCCCACAAGTGGGGTCTGGGGAGGAGGATAGTATGTACGCACCCTTACCCCTGTCTTGCAAAGTTAGAGAGGCTGCTTCCGATAGACTCTCGGCTCAAGCAAAGCACAGTAATAGCAGTTTTAAAAAGAAATACAGTAGTGGAAGAGGCTTTAAGCTGTTTATGTACATAAATTTGTAAGCTGGTTTCCTGCACCTTTGTCACCCTGATATAGAAATTATTTTCGTCATCGCACATGTATATAGTGTTTCCTAATTCCATACTAGTATAACTTACTGAACATTCCTCTCTATAACAAACGTCTTCTGTGCCAATCATTGCTGTTGCACCAAAGTTTAACCGACATAGTTAATAGTTCTTTCCAAACGATCATGTATCATTATTCATAGTCGTAGAAAACCTGCTGAAGCATACTATTTGTGTAAATAGGGTTCTTGCTTCACTTACTATGAAGTAACTCTAAGCTGTGGTTACACTACTGCCGTTGAATCTACATACCATGTTTCACTAAGGCTAACTGGAGCACTATATTGTGTCTTTACTGTCGGTAAATAAATTACAACAAAAATTATGTCTCTCCAAGTTGCCATATCTAAGTCTTTGCCGAAGCTACTGATAAAAGCAATACTTTATCCCTTATTTGCTCTCTTTTGCTGTCTTTGGAGGGGAAATACTTTTTACCAGTACATTATGCTGTTTGGTTCAAAGAACTTACTGTTGCACCCTGATATTTAGGTGGGGTCGGGTCGGTCCTCTCTTAATTATGTCAATATTTATTAGATTGAAAATAAAAAATGAAAAATGTGGAGTAAAAGAATTGCATCGGAAAGTTAGGTTTTCCAGCAATTGTGACTTTTGTGTGAGCAGATGAAACTGTTTTGATTTTTGTGTTAGAAAACATAGCTATATGATTTTGATGAAAAAAAGTCATAGTTATATGACCATTTGTGAGATTTACCCATTGTTTCAAGCTAGAAGTAAGAAAATCTTCGTCAACTCTGCGTGGAATTATTTGGCTCAGATTTACATTTTTAAACTCATGCAGGGACTTTGACTGGGAAATATACTCCAGAAAATCCACCCACTGGCCCTCGAGGACAGATCTATACTCCTGCATTTCTAACCAAAGTAAGGCCTCTATAGTATATGACTACAGATTATTAAGAATTTCACTTCTTACGTCTCACGAACTTTTGTGCACTGCAGTTGCAGCCACTCATAAATAGAATAAAGGAGATAGGAGAAAGCTACAGTAAGACTCCAACACAGGTATGTCTTCCCTGTTTCTAGAAATTTCTTGGTTTAGCTTAGCTTAATTTCTTCAGGTGTAGTTTTGTTTGGGATGCTGTTACGCTAGTCGTAGTAGAAGCTATAAGTTACTTGGTTACACCACCTTCATCCCAAATATCATACTCTCTTTTAGCTGGAAAAGATGAAGGAAAAAGTGACAATGGACCGTCATATGAACCCTACTAACTAGGTGCATGTCATGAGTTCGAACCTTACTATGGACAAAAGGGCGGTATTTATGTGGAGAAGGATAGAAACTGTTCCATTATCCATTGAGTTCGAACCGTCCGCTATTTAGTCCTCAAGAATTTCTAAGTTATCAAAAAAGGAAGCCTACTAGCTTAGTATATATGATCCTTTAATCAAAATGAGATTTTTTTCTTTCTCGACGGTCCATTGAGTCAAGATTTATAAAATCATAAGGAAATTCCAAGTTCACCTTTGAGTCAAAATTCAATATATTTTAGGGATTTAAGTTAAATACATTGATGGTGTATTAATGATTTTATACGTCGGTGAATTTTAACTTGTAATAGTAGGTTAGTTATTATATTTACTAGATTATAAATTAATGCTTATCAAGAAATTTACCTATAACTACTTAATAAGTGACCTGATCGTGTAAATATTTTATATGTCATCAGTGCATAGACCTTAAACTCGTATTTTAGATGGTTCTTGGATGACTTTAGGAATATGATAGTCATTACTTGGGCAATTCTTGGAAAGTCTCAAGGAGAAAAGGCGAAGGGAAATAATGATTTTCATTGTGTAAAGATATGCCACTTGGGCCTAACTCAACCCCAAAAGTTAGCTTGTGGGGGAAGGATTGACCAAGTTCATATAAGGAGACCACCAGCCCATTTAGTAACCAATGTGGGACTCTAACCTACTCTAACACCCCCTTGAACGCCCGGACCACCAACTGGAGCGTGAACAATATATCATAGGGGCCCAAACGGGAACGGACCTAGCTCTGTTACCACGTAAAATACAGAGAAAATGGAAAATGCTTTTGCACTCATTTGCTCTTGTCTTGTTACCTTCCACAGGTGGTCCTGAATTGGTTGATTGCACAGGAGAATGTTGTTCCCAT